CTGATTCTTTCCAGAAACTACAGTTAACACAATTACTCAGATCTCAGCACTTGAGCTAAGTTTGTTATGCTAGAAGCAGAGAATCATTTTCCCGATGGCAGTTTTACATCAGTCCTTGTCCTTTCACCCAGAGTTTTTCTTTGCACCTGCCTGCAGTCTTCTTGTGGCTTTCTGATTCTTTCCTTTAAGACAGCGTTGGCAAATGTCTTTTTTAAAAGGACCAGATAGAAAATACTTTAGGCTCTGTGGGCCTCATATGGTCTCTCTCTATCTCTATCTCTATTCTTCTTTTTATAACTCTTAAAAATGCAAATACCATTTTTGGCTCACAAGCCATATGAGTTGCAGGTAATCTTGGATTTGGGGTTGTTTATAATGAAAGTGTTTGGGGGGATTTGAATTGAAGAGTTTAATCTAGTTCCTTTTCAGCATGGATTTACCCTGTATCACAAAATGTCAAATAGTTGGCTTTGCCTGGGTTAGGTGGTAGGTAAATACTCTGATGTTATAAGCATACAGATCCTTGTGAACTTGCAATGGGGTTATGTCCCTATAAGTCCATTTTAAGTTGAAAATACGTTTTATACACCATACCTGCTGAGCCTTATAATTTAGCCACACAGCGCTCTGCAGGGTGTCACTTATTTCCCCTACTGATAGTGTGACTGACTAGGAGCTTCAGCTCACTGTCACCATCCAGTATCATGAGAGAGCATTATACTGCATATTGCTAGCCAGGGAAAAGAACCAAATCAAAAGTCTAAGTATGGTCTGTATGAACACATATTGACCATCAGAGTCAAAAACTCATAATTGGGGACCATCTATGGCAAGTCTGCAGCGTGGTTGCCGATTTTAGGTTTGTTTTCAATGTAGATTTGGGACATGGTAGGTCTTCACCAGGAAGCCTATGTTGTCCTCTGTTTGTCTAAATCTGGAACTCTCTGGCTCAAATCTGCCTTTCTCCCTCCTCCAAGCTTTTCCTGCCCAGCATTTCCTGTGTTCAATCTCTTCTCCACCCTGCTTTTCTCCTTGGAAGGAAGGAGATGAATGGCTTCTGCAGATGGGCCCTGTGCTGCTTTCTCAGCTTTGAGAGTAACCACATTTGTCTTTTCTTCAGCACCCAGGCTTGCTTCTCAGAGGCTAATCTTTAAGCTAGAAGTCAGGACAGTGAACGGGAGAGATTCGTGGGGAGGCAAAATCTTTAGGTCAAATAAAGGAAATTCCCCGCATAACCGAGACAGATCCTGTGTCTGCAATGGCCTTGTGTACATTTCTGTTTAGAAACCACTTTGTCAATTTCTTTGCCAGCTTTACCATGTAGTAAGAATACTTTATCTTTATAAAGCAGCAATAAGTGGACAGTATAATATATTTCACTTTTAATAAGGTGTTGCCAGTTACACACACTCTGTAGAGCAATTAGTGTCAAAGCTGCTAAGCAATGGAGGGAACTGTATCTGAGTGTTTACAGACTGAAAGGATTTACAGCTGTGTTTGAAGGAGCTGTGGCCACAACGTGGAGGGTGTGGGAAAAGATGTTGGCCAGCTCAGTTTAAATCCACTGACCCTACATGATTTTGAAACTTCTCAAAAGTGCCCTTGCCTTGTATTATGATATGGGTTTCTGGGGCAGGGAGATGGTGATGCTTCCCACACAGCTCATGGAGCTCGGAAACATGGCTTTAGGGATCCTTGAGATCCGAGTTTCAAATGCAACTCTGCAATGAAGCATGACTCCTAGGCAAAAAAAAAAAAAAAAAAAAAAAAACATCTCTCTGAAACTCATATTCTCCTTCTGTAAAAAGGAGAAGAGAAAATTATCAGAGAACTTAGAATATGAAGCTCTGGGTATTTCCAGCTCTCCCATTAGACTGGGTCCTTTCAAACTGTGTCATTCCTACCCTGTCAATGCTCATAAGTATGGGAACTTTAAAAAAAATTCAATCATATCTAGGTTGTGCAACCCATCACATTTTGCCTGGAAATGCCCTCATTTTAAAATGGACAGTTCTGTAACTCTGTCTCAGGAGGGCTAGTCCCATTCAATTCAGTTCAAAATCTTTAAGTTCTCTCTTATTTTAGGAGGTGGGCTCGAGTCCAACTGCAGTGTACATAGCAGAAATTCCTACCACACATCACACTGGACATAAACCATAGGCAGCAGCAAAACATGTCCTTTCAGGAAAATTGTAGAGATCTTTAGCAGGAATGGGAGACAACTGATCCAGCAATAAAGTGCCTGAGAACTTGTTCTCAAAGTCAAAGATCTAGCTCAAACTTTCTTGGATTTATTTCTTCCCTGAGAATAGTGTTCATTAGGCTGAGCCTTGGAAGGGAGAAGAGAAATAGGTTGAGCGTCACTAATCCAAAAGTCTCAAATCCAAAATGTTCCAAACTCCACTTTGAGCACCAACAAGATGGAAAATGAAAAATTATCTCTATGCCAAACAACCAGACTGTCTATGTGAGTGACTGATAATGATACCTTTGTTTTCTGGTAAGTCAATATGCACAAACTTTGCTTCATGTCCCAGTTGTTTTAAACATTGCATAAATTACCTTCAGGGTATGTGCTTAAATTGTGTATGAAACATAAATGTATTTCATGGTAAGACTTGGGTCCCATTCCTAAGATAGCTCAGAATGTATATACAAATACTCCAAAATGAAAAAAAAAATCCAAAATCTAAAATACTTCTCATCCCAAGCATTTCGGATAAGGGATACTCACCCTGTATTTGTGTTTCTATTTCAAGGGCATGCCCATGGTTTTATATCACACATGCAGAAACAGTTATCCAAGTCACATTTAGGGCATACCAATCCAACAAAAGTGGGTGAGCTCTGGTCTCAACCTTAGCACTGTTCAGGTGGGAACAGAGGAGTAGACCCTCCTCCCTATTCAGGGAACTTAACATGTAATTTCAAAGAAAGGCCTAGCATCCTTGGAACAGCAGGGAGTCCTCACCTGGCCAGGACAGTCAACTGCCACCCTATTTCTATCTGTCCCTTTTACATAATAAGCAGGAGCAGGAGAGGAAGAGAACTCTAAAATGTTACTCTACAGCATAATTACTCAGTCTGTAGATAAGAAAACACACTTAGAGGTAAAAGAAAAGGGCATAAACCTATACCTTGTATTTCCAGGGAGCAAACTTTCTACCTGCTTTTTCTTTTAATAGCTGAGAAAAGCAGAGTTTTGAGCATTGGAAGAGTTTAGCAGGAATAAATTCTGGAAGGGGAAGTTGTATGAGGGGAAATGGCTAGGTTGGCGAAGAGATGGAATAATGGCTGGGCCTGTAGGAACTGACCACAGGAAGACACACTTTAGGAAGAGAAGGCAGAATGGCATGTGGCTGGACAGAAAGAATACCATATTTGAAAGTAGGGGAGAGCAAGGCTGGGGAGGCCCTGTCTCAGAAGCCTTGAATGCCTGGCAGAGGAAATATGAGACTCCCATTAAAGATAATCTCTGTACACTTTTAGAAATATCTTGGTCTCTTCCTGGCACAGATATTTTGAAGCTATGCATCTGATCTCTGTGAACTAAGCTCCTCACTCAGTAACTTGTAGGGGTGAGGGAAATATAGAGTCATTTTTCCTATCAAGGTGATTGGGGTGCATGTATGGGAGGGGAGCATATTCTTATTTGATTTCTAATCCCAGAGTAAATCTCATGCATAAGAGGACCAGCTTTCAGAGAGTCAGAACATCTTGTTTAAAACATTATTTCAAATATTTGCTGGGCACCTGCCTCATTTAAGTTTTGCAGGGGATGGTAGACCAAAATAAAAAGGAAATGTGTGATTAATTGGTTTTAACCATCAAAGCATAAACCGGGGTTATAATTAACTAATTTTGAAAGTGTGTCTAGGTTCCTCTGTGTGTGTGTATTTTAAACACTGCATTGCACAAGAGAAGGACTCCTGTGAAAGTATGCAATGAGGGCCAAAGGCCTCCCCCCCGCCCCCCGCCCAAATGAGAATGGAGTTTGTACTAGCCACAGACAGCATAGAGAAGGTGGAAGGTGAATCTGGTATGTGTCCGTCTCCTTGTTCTGTGTTTGGCTAGATCTGTTGTGGGCAATGTGCTCACTACAGGGTGTGCAGTAGAGAGATTAGGGCTCCCCAGCACTCTCTGACCTGGCAGCATGACTCACAGGCCTCTTGCTGGAGCTCTTATAAGTGTCTGTTTTTCTTTTTCTTTTCTTTTGGTACCAGGATTGAACCCAGGGATGCTCTACCACTGAGCCACATCCCAGGCCTTTTTATTTTGAGACTGGGTCTCATTAAGTCGAAAAGACAGGCCTCTAATGAGCAATCCTCAAGTCACTGGGATTACAGGCATATGCCACCATGCCTGGAAAGTGTCTGTTTTTCTTTTCCTACGAAGACTGTGCCAGCTCTAAGTGCTCTTCCCTCATGCACTCTTGTGCACTGTGGTTTCTATCTGGGTGTCTCCTCATTCTGAGAGCCTCTGTGCACTCATCCTTTGCAAGCCTCCTAATTGCTGGGGAGTCATCCCTTCTCCTTGCTCAGATCCCTCCCTCCCTTCTCTCCAGCCTTCTTTCTCAGTTCAGTTAAGTTCCCCTCTCTGGGTTTGTTCTCAAAATTCGAAGGTTTCTATTTTCACACCTCGGTAATTGGTGCTATCTGTTGAAAGTAACTCTGGAACTCCAGCCTGCTGGGGTCAGGAAGAGCTGAATTGAATTAAGGGAGTAGAAATTGGCTAGAAGCAGGAGGATGACTGGAGCGGGGTAATTTCTCTCCTCCAGGTGGCCAGCATCCTGGGAGCAGGAGCCTGCTCTGGATATGACCAGTGGATATCTTGCTTTGTTCTCTGGTCCTTAATAGGAGCCCTGTAGTGGAAGCAGTGAGAAAGGAATGAGGCTCCCTGCCTGGCCATCCCTTCAGCCTGTGGGTGACCCTGGAGACCCAAGACATACATGCAGTGCCAGGAAAAGGCATTATGTTAGTGAAATGACATTGGAGCGATTAAATATGCAAAACACCCCCTGTTTTTAATAGCATAATGGCTGGGAGAGAAGCTGACAGAAGCCAGGAGTCTCTTGGTGACAACAGCTAATCTGTCCACAATTTATGCCTGGGTGGCAGAAACAGCCCCACTGGTGTGGATCTCAGTGCACCAGGTCCAACTCCTGATTCACAGTCACAGTTGATGTGCGGCTGATGCTGAGATGAGAGGAAACAGTGTTTTGGTTTTTTTTTTTTTTTCATTTCTTCTTTGATGACAGGAAAGTAAATTATCCTTCAATTTCTAAAAATTATTATTATTTTCTGCTGGTGTTGTTGATCACTTATTTTTGATCTCCTGGAAGGTTTTCTAATGATTATAAAAAGCAACAACACAAACTCTCTCTACTTCCAGGCAGCAGGTGTGTAGCCCTTCTTTCAGTTTGTGAGATATTTATTCTTTCTCAGATCTATCATTGAATCTGCCTCCAGGATGGGAATGAACTTTGGGGTCAATTCACAAGAACTTCAGAATTTCAAAGCTTAGGTGCCCCGTGGGTCTGAGGAAAGGTCAAAGCAATGAATTTCCACTGTGGCCAAAAGGGTTAATGTTCCAATTCCTCCACACACCGAGGGGAGGCAGAGGATCATTAAAATATTCACCCACATAGGTATTTTATTCTGATTAAAAATGTAGCAGATATTAGTGATAATATGTTAGGATACCATAAGAAAATATTAAGAAGAAATAGCAGTTATTTTTCTTTCATATTTAGAATGCTGATAGATATTTCATAGAAGGGAAGTATCTTGTCCCCTTTCTGCCCCACTGCATGGTATCTATGTTTCCTGAGACTTGGCCCTTCACTTTTGCCTTGTGCAAAGGCTAATTTGGTTCCAGATCAGCAAAGCTAGATGTCTTCAATCTGTCCTCAGCGGAGAGGGAGATTTGGTTACCATCCTTGCCTGTGAAAAAAAAGACAGGAGTTACTTTTTGAGATCAAATCCTGGCCCTCTTGCTTCCTGGCTTGGGGATTGAGGGCTTGGATAAGTATTAGTACCTTCTTGTGCCTTATTTTCCTCACTTGTAAAATCACAACAATGTTACTACCTGTCCCATATAATTTTGGAAAAATGTATATATAGTTGTCCTTCAGTATGCATGGAAGGACAACTCTCTTCAAACACCCAGATCCATGGATGATCAAGTTCTTTATATGATATCACAAAGACACAGACAAATGGGTATGGAGAATGTGGTATACATACACAATGAAGTTCTACTCAGTAAGAAAGAAGAATGAAATTGTCATTTGTTGGTTATGGATGAAGCTAGAGAATATCATGCCCTGTGAAATAAACCAGAGAGAAAATCAAGTGTCACATCTTTTTTCTAATAGGTGGAAGCTATGGAAGAAAAGGGAATAAAAAAAAAATCTTGGGGAAATAGAAGGAAAATCAATAGAGTAGCAGAAGGGATGGAGAAGGGGACAGGAGGAGAAGCCATGAGAAGAATTAGGGAATGAAATCTACCAAATTAT